GGTCTGCTTACAACTGTTCCTCCTCCCTTGTGTTTCCACACTTGATAGTTCTACCTAGGTTGCCCTTTTTTGTTAATCTGCGTGTGTTCTGTTGTGCATCTACTAACTGACATAATAATGTTTACAAACTATGTGAGAGTGGGACTAATTTTATCCTTTTTACACATGTAGAAGAGTGGCACAGAGCCATGAAGTGAATGTCTTGCCCCATAAGACATTGGCAGAGCCTTGATTCAAACATTGGCAGACAGATCCCAGCCCAGTGTCTGTTCTTAGCCCTGTATTATCTCACTTCATTATTAAATACAACCAAAATCTTAAATACTGAAGTCTATCCACACCCCATTTTATGACATTGGGGATAAATACTCATTTTTACTACATATATGTTTTTTAAATGGTATAAAAGTGTTAAACACATTTAATAGAGTGGTTCCTCTGGCATATTCCATTCCCACTACTGGTAGCTTTTAAATGTTGCTCTTCTCTTTTATGGAACTTACCAATAGTAAGATCATGAACAGCTGAAAATCTCTTGTCTGTAAACTGCAGCAATAAGCACGATTTCCCAACACCTGAAAGTTACAAAGAAAAACAACATCCACAATGAGATACCATCTCACTTCAGTAGCAGAAGCAAAATTTAACAGGACAGCAAGTAATAAATGTCGGAGAGAATGTGGTGAGATAGGAAATCTTTTACATTGTTGGTGGGTTTATAAAATGGTACAACCACTCTGGAAGGCAGTTTAGTGCTTCCTCAAAAAGCCAAACATAAAAATTCCTTATGATCCAGCTATTCCACTGCTTGGAATATACCCCCCAAAAATGAGAATTGATGCTCAAACAGAAACGTGCAAATCAACGTTCACAGCAGTATTACTCACCATTGCAAGACCATGGAAACAGCCAAGATGTCCAACCACAAATGAATGGATTGAGAAGTTGTGGTACATTCTTACAACGGATTACTACACAGCATGCAGGAGCAATGATTTTGTATATTATTACCTAATTTGGGAGGGACTTAAGAGCATCATGCTGAGTGAATTAACTCAGTCCCACAAGGACAAATAGTGTATAAAATCATTATTGTAGAATGAGTATGAGGATCCATTTTGGGGGGGTGGGCATTAGGGTGGAAATAGAGGGTGTGGATGGAGGGGTAGGGTGTTAATCATAGGGCTACACAATTCGATAAGTGGGTGGGTGTAGGAAATGGGAAGGATCTTTTCTGAAAAACAATATATTCAAACTTTATAAATACATCAGAATAAAAGAAAAACAACATCAATCAAGAGACAAGAATTAACAGGAATTAAGAAATATTTTACCAAAGCACTTGGAAAGAGGGCAACTGGGGATGCTGGTCCATGTCTCCAATAGAGTAAATGTCCCTGAATTTTAAAGTTAAAATGGCAAATTTTTGTTATTTATAATTTTCCATAATAAAACCAAAATTCCTTGATCAGAATTTTTTAAAAAATCAAGACAGTATTAAAATAAAGTTTGCATAAGAAAGTTTAACTTAACAATCACAACAAACTTTGAACAAAGAATTTATCAAATGTGGACTATGTTGGAGGATATTCTTTAGGTAAATGGAAAACTACAGCAAACATTACATGGAACTTAAGGAGTACTCCAAAATGTCCACATACTTGATTAAATTCTATGTATTTTTCTGAATTTGCAACTGATTCATCTTTTATTTTCATAAATAAAATCAGTCAAATATATTGACCTGAGAGAGATACTTAGAAAGAATGACTGAATAAGAAATAGTTAAGTGCCAATATATAAGGAACTTTATTTACCATTTTACTATAATCCCCAATAATAACAGATTAATTGATAAGAGTTTCTGTCTGGAGTGATGAAAACCTTTGGAAATGTTTGAAGTGACTGTTTCACAACCATCACATATATAATTACTGTCACTTTACAGTGAATTTCAAATGGTTAAAGGAGCAAATATTTTTTTTACATAATTTACAGAATGTTAAGAGCTATCAATGTCAAAGCCACTGCCATGGAGCTGGAATCAACTCAGCAGACACTTCAATGGGTTTTTGGAGGCTATAAATTGCATCGGAGGAGACTGATCATCTTTCTCCCACAGAACATCTCGTGGATCTGAACCCAGATGAGAGATGCTAACCTTTGGGTTCCTGACACAACTCCCTTAATTGAAGCAGGGTAAGGATCCTAGACTTGGAATGTAAGGGTGGTTTCTCACTGAGGATGAGATATAAATAAAGAACTACAAGCAAATACCTAAGCAAAGAGTAGCCTGAAGAAACATCCATCAGAAATGTTACAAGGGATGTGGTGGAGAAACAACAATGAGGCTCCTGTGATTAAAGCCCAGAAGGCAGGGAAGGCTACAGGACTCAGAGGAGCCTAGATGCACAGGCTCCATGGCATTTCACAAGTTTTCTCATGATAAAATGGAGACCCACAGGAGGTTTTACAGCAAAGAATGAACTTTTTACTTACATTCTAAAAGAATTGCTCTGGTTGGTCCAATTAGGGCTTTCTCACAATGAGGAAAGCAATAGTTCCCTTAGACGAGGACAGTAGATGAGCAGGATGCTGGACTTAGTGATTGAAGATGGAAGTGAATAGTTTTGATAGAGAGCTGAAGAGAATCTAATGGTGTGGATATGGGTTTTGACAACAAAAGGAGAGTTTATCAAGGATGATTCAATCAAGGACATTTTTGCCTCATCAGACAGACTAGTCAATGAGATTGGGAAAGCTGTAGGTAGAGCAGGTACAAGGAGGCCAGATCAAATTCCAGTTTGGTTATTTTCAGTTGAATTCTATATTAGACGTCAAAATAGTAAAGATGAATAGGCAACTGGATGTATTAAACTAGTTAGAATTCAGGAAAGATGTTTGGCATGAAGATGTAAATTAGAGCTGTTCACATACAGGTGGTATTTAAAGCTACATGAAAATGAGGAAATAGCAATGAAGACATAAAAATAGCACATGCCTGTTTAAATAATTCCAGAATTAGAAACATCTAGAAAAGTGACCACTCACTGACCATGGTGCAATCTTGGCACATCACATGCTCTTCCCTCTCTGATGGAGACACTTAGTTTCTCACAGACAGTTACTGTCATTGCTATCTTTCCTGATCATCTGTGATGGTTGTGAAATGGCTGCACAACTGTCACAAACCCAAAGAACTACAGCCTTTGAATTGATTCCAACTCAAGGCAACCCTCCACTGGGTCGTCAAGGCTGTATATCTTCATGGAAGGAGACAGCTCATCTTTCTCCTGCCAAATGACTGAGGAAATTGAACCTCCAACCAGACTGGTAAGAAGCTGTGCTACAAACCCAAAGGCACTTGGTCCAAATCTACCAGCTGCTCCGTGGGAGAAGGATGGGCAATCTCCTCCCATAAATTTTACTGTCTCTGAAAACTTGATAGCAATAGTAACAACAGTCGTAGTTTTCAAAAATTAACAAAAACTCCCAAATCCTGCATACCACACTGATGCTTCAGGCCTCCCCTTCAGAAATTCAGACTGAACTGTTAGCATCTATGGTTGTTAAAAGTGCTACCTGGGTGACTCTGGACCTTTGTGTATCACTTTCAAAATGGAGACAAGAAACATCTACTTCAAAGAATTGTGAAAATTCTATCAATTGATCCTTTCACAATGAATTTTTAATTTTTTTATTGATACCATGTATTTCCAATAATGGAAAGTATACAGATATCAAGGGGAACATTTTTAAAATAAAGATTGTGATTAAATTATGCAGGACATCTATGTCCCAAGTGGAGTCTGGTGGTAAAATTGGTATGGTGAGGCCCATTTCTTCAAATTTATACAGTTATATAGGTCCTTGCAAGGCATTAGCATGTCCCACAGTTGGGATAGCAACTTCTCAAGAAATCTGACAATGTTAGTGGGCACTATATGCCCCAGGAGTCATAAAGTGGTTAATATATACAAATCATTTAGGCTGGCATATAAGAAACACAGTGTAAGAAATTACTGGTGTGGTGTAAGAAATTACCAGTATGGGGGAAAGAGGGGAAACCCCCCAAAACAACCAAATCTCAAAATTCAACATGGGCTTCTTCAATTTATCTCATTTTTACTCTCAAGTCTTCTTGAGGTGCCTATGAATCCTAGAGAAATACTGCTTTATTTTTCAAAACCAAATATCCATTTCTCCCAGGTCTGAGATCCATAAGTCCTTTCTCTCACATCTTCATTACCTTTCTTTTCACTGAATCCATTTCCTTACAGAAGAAATAAACTTCCCATATATGCACACACATAAATTCTTCTCAAAGAAAGGTACTGAGTCATGATCACCAAAATCTCAGCTATGGTAAGCAGGAGCTAAGAACAACCATATCCCTACACTTAATAAGGTTTGAGGAAAAAAAGAGAAATTCAATACAGAGGCACCACCCTGAGAATTATGTCACTTTACTCAAGTTACACAAAATGACTCCACTTATCCCTTGTCCTCTCAAAAGCTTTAGGAAACTCTCTGGACTTGCTTCTGGTAGATGTAGGTAGTCTTTTCTTTAATGAAGCCCCACATTTTACTGCTTCCTTTATCTCATTTATAAACAAGGTTTATCTTACTTATAAACAAGGTTCACTTAAGTCCAGAACCATATCTTCCTCATTTATTTTTTTTATTCCCCAAAGTACTTAGAATAGACCTTCACCTAGCCAGAACTAATATAGTTAATGCTTAATAAACAACAAGCATACATAAAAGACTATGTGTAGTTGTTTTTTAAAGCTTTGTGTGGATATTTTAGATACACCCAAATCACCACCATTCTGCAATTAATACTAATTACTACACGTAACAGGGTGCTCTGGTGGTCTAGTGGCAAAGAACTTACTGTACTATCAATCAAAGGCCCATGGTTCAAATCATCTACCAGGTGCTGCATGGGATAAAAACGGGTAATCTCTTCCCAAGTAATTTACTGCCTCTGAATACCTGTTGGAGATTTAGCTATGAGTTAGTTCTAATTCAACAGTACACAACAACAATACTTAATAAGGCTGCCACCATAGTTCCTATCATAATGTAATCACACGAACTTCCTCCTATACTCAGGGTCCAAGACATCTTCATACAAACAGCAGGAGACAGGGGTGCCGTGAGGTCTGAGTGCCTCACAATTACAAGCAACACTTACTAGAAAGGATAATATCCTTAAAGAGTTCCATTTATAAGCTCTCAGTGACTTTAGGCCAGGAGTCCTTCTTTACAAGAAACACTGGAAGAATAAATGCTAGGTATTCTACTCAACTGTACATTGCCATAGTTCTAAATCATCTCCCACTAATTTCAAGATAATCTTTCAAAACAGGAGATGGAGAGACCCTGCCCTATCCCACAGCCTGAGAAATTGTGTGGACTGTTCTAATCCACCCTATACGTTGCTAGGAGTCTGGATTTACTTGAAAATAGACAAAAACACACTTAGTCCTCAAAATCAAAGTGAAACAAAAATTCTGTGGGTGAACCAATATGAAGATGAAAAACCCCCCAAAAATCAAAGAGTTAAAAA